AGAGACTACTTGGTTTATTGCTGATGGGACATTTGTTTTGTTTTTTCACAGGAACTTTTAGGTTTTTGCTGAAAGGACACTTTGGTTTTGTCCTGGCAGGTACTTTAAGACCATTTGGTTTACGGCTGATGGTAACTAATGGGTTGTTGCTCATAGGACATTTTGTTTTCTCTCTGACTTTTGGGTTGGTCCTTAAAACACACCTTGGTTTGATGCTGATGGTTAATGCCCGCTTGTTGCTGACGGGATATTTTGAGGTTTTCTTGATGGGATATAATGAGAGTTTAGGTTTGTTGCTGCTAGTAACTGTGGGCTTTTTGCTGATGGTACATTTTTTCTTTTTCTTAACAGGAACTTTTTGTTTGTTGCTGTAAAGACACTTGGATTTTTTCCTGGCAGGTACTTCAGAGTTTTTGCCAAAGAGACTTGTTGTTTTCTTGCTGATGGCACACTTTGTTTGTTTTCTGATGGGAACTTTTGAAACGTTTGGTTTCTTGTTACATGGCGCTCTCCGAGAGTATCTGAAGGGAGACTTTAGTTTTTTGATTTTTGGTACTTTCAGGTTGTTGTTGGTGGAAATAATCGAGTTAAGTTTCAAGCGACACTTTGTTTTGTCACCTATGGAGAAGTTTAGTTTGTTCCTGGTTGAAACTGTTGGTTTGTTCCTGTTGGGAACTTTCTGTTTGCTGATGAAGGGAAGCTTTGATTTGTTGCCAAAGGGACACTTTGGGTTTCGTCTGATTGGAGCGAGTGGGTTGTTGATGAAGGAAAGTGTTGGTTGCCTGTAGATGGGAGGTGCTGGTTCGGTTTCTCCACTGTTGTGAGTAAAAGAGAAAAAGTGAAAGATGAGTGTTAATGTTTTCATTGGCCTCACACTCATTTTATTTCTCTTCATTTTGGGGACATAAATATCCAGAGTATTTTTTATAAAAAAGGAACAAAAAAATCATATCGCTTTTATTGTGTCATGTTACTTTACCTCTATTATAACCTTTAAATCAAAGTCATACACACAATTAATTTGATCCCAGACCTACACCTAGACCAGCGTCAGGACTGTAACCCCTCACTTTGTTTATCACTTCCTGTTGACTTTTTACCTTAAACCACACAAACAAGAATACAGGACAATGTTGACCTTTCAGTGCAGCACCCTGACTTCAAATCAGATGTTAGAGGTGGAGTCAGCAGTAATGTTTGTAAACACAACCTTCAAACTGGGCCCTTTCTCTTGGGCTTATCGCCCACAGAAGCTTACCCTCGCTGCAGGACATAATGTGTACGTTTACTGCTTGTAGCTACACTGCAAGCTAGCACAAGCTAACTGCCGGTGTTTGTCACCTGCCTGTCCAACAGGAAGTAGACAACTCCACGTCCACGGGTAAAAGACAACACAAGGTTCACCCTCGTTTTAAAACAAGCTTTATCCACTTGGTGTTTCTCCTCACTGTGATTATATTTTCTCTTCTTTGCTGCTACGTCCACGTCCGTCATATTCACAGTTTCGAATGGTGTCCAATCACTGAACTGTATCCACTCCTAAACTCACCTGCTGCGCTGTCATTGGCTGGAGGAAACACACCAGCTCCGCCCAGAAACGTCCCGAGTCAACCAAAACAAACCAGAACAGTAAAATCCAGTGAGAGGACAGAGTCTCTGCAGACACAGTCACCACCACACATGTATGGAGGCCCAGAAGGGACGATGGAGCAGCTTCACTTTAGGAGAAGTCTGTATTTATTTTGTAGGAACAAGCTGCTGACTCTGTCTTTAACGTAATGTAAACAAGAACACATGGATGATGATGGTAAATTTTTCAGAAACATAAGCAACAGATTGTCTTACCCTGTGTTCTCCTCTGATAGTAAAGATGATCGGGGGGATGTTTTACAACTGGATTCACCTGCAGGGCACATCAACAACTACTCTCTTTATCGAAAGCATCGCATTTCATTTCCATCAATTCTGGATCGATACTTGAAATATAATGTTTCTATTCTTGATATGGAGAGACTGTGGACTGCACGGCCACTTTGACTTTAATGTCTACATGCCTGGAGAAGTTGGCATGTCACTAGTTCGTGTTTGTAAAGACTTAAGATCCTGATGTATGTACTTTAAAGTTCAAAACTCACCAGTTACAGAAAGCAGGGCGAGAACAGCTAGACCTGAAAGAGAAAGAGAGAGTCGGGTTCCCATAGATATCTTCTAAACATGTCAGCACAGCAGCTATTTTCCTCAGACAGCATGCTCAGGGCATGTGTGGTTAAAACACATATTTTCATCTTTAGCAACAGCTAACCAATGCTACCAATAAACATAATTCTATGTTACAGTAACATTTACACTAAATGAAGGATGGGAAAGGCATTAAAGGTTTATTATAGAGACAGGACAGGCGATAGAGTCAGAAATCAGGGAGAGTGGGGAATTACAAGCCGGGCTGGAAACCGGGCTGCTGGCTTAAGAGGACTACAGCATGTGCACTAACCACTAGGCTCCCGGGGCCCCTCCTGAAAAAGGCATTAGTAGCTGAAGTCAGCTAAACTTTCCATTCAACCAGTACTGCCCTCTGGAATCAACTCCAACGATCCATCAGATCTGCAGAATCTTTGGAAAGTCTCACAAAGCCTTCTGTGCACAGACAAACCTTCTCCTCTTGTCTTTAGTTTGTTTCTGTTTTTGCCCGATCTGACGATCAGGTGTATTTATGTATGTTCTTATCACAGTACCTGTTCCTTGACTCCAGTTTGCGTGAGGTGTGTATTTGGTACTTGCTTACGGCAAGAAAACATCTCGTTCACAAACAACAGCGTTGACAGCCACTCACAAAGTTACATTTTGACCATCTACTGAGAGTTGGTGGTAACTGCGCCACATAACTTATAACTTGGATTCCACAGGATCTGTGTGAGCAGCGTTCTTCTGAACGCACTCGCATTACCCCACTGGGTCCAATTCCAAAATGCAAGTGCACAGGAGAACTACAAGATCACAGGAGAACTACAAGATCACGTGAGACTAAAGAGAAAAATGTACAAACAACATGTTGCTTTGTCTTTGGATGATTTGTTGTTTTGACGCCATGTTGATAACATGATAGAAAATACGATTGTCAGTTGTATATTGTGTTTTTATTTTACGGCCAATTATCTGTAACTCTTAAAACAGGAATAACAGACATACTTTTTTCATTTTAGATTCATTATGATCATTAACTCTCAGCGTTCTCAGAGACACTTAAAGAAGTCTTCAAGATGTCTAAAATCTAAGATGCAGAAAAGCATCAAGTGAACATTTGAGCACACACATCCTACAGTGAACACACAGGTGATGTAAAGCCAATCCAAAAGTAAAGACTCCTCGCCTCGGGGTCACTGACCCGTTCTCAGCTGCAGATTTAGAAATCCCAGACTGCACCTGTCCAAAAACAGACCATGCCAGACCCCAAACTCAGGTCTGTTTCTGAGCAGTCAGGTTGCTATCTTCCTCTTTTACTCAGAGGTCTGTCTCTGTACGGATCCTCTCTGTAATGTTTGCTAAATAACACCCTGAGCATTACCTGTCAGACAGACGGACTCACAGGGCAGCAGGTTCCCCTTCAAACGGATCATCTCTGGTCTGCACATCAACTCCACGCTGGGGTTTGTCCCTCTCACCACATTGGAGTTCCCACAGCTGCCATGACCGCTTCAGTGTTGCGTGTGTCAAGAGTTTTTTTGATTAAATATGACAGGACAAACACGTTGTGAACACGACTGTTTGACTTAACCTCATGACTGCAGGGGAGAAGACATTTACACATTGACAGCAGCAGGAATGAGGTCTTTAAATGGCTGCAGAAAAACATAATGGGAATAAAGGAGCTGCCATTGACTTTCAAACTACAGAATAAAGAAACGACCGGCGGGTGACATTTCATCTGAGGACTGGAAGACATGTTCTGGACAGACAGGACAGACAGACAGGCAGACAGATATCAAACAGGGAAATAATGAAGTACTAATTAAATCTCTGCTAAGCTGTTTGGTCTGGACTCATTCACAGAACATAAACTGACTGCACGGATGTTTCGTACCATGCCTGAGCACGATTGCGCATTTTAGGTGTTCAGATGTGGCAGGGTGCGATCAGAATCAAAGATCAGATGACAACATGGCGCTTTGCCTCTGCGTCGGCTCTTGTGACAGAGAGGAGTGTGTGTGTTGTGTTGTAGCGCCTCTCCCTCAGGCTTCTCTCAACATGGAGGTGCACACACACTCCAGGCTGTTATATGATTAAACAAAGACAGCTAACACCTGACTGACACAGGAGGTGTGTTTCACAGCTGACAGGTGAGCTGAAGAGTTGGTGTGATGACAGGTTTACAGAACTTTAAATGTTTGAATTCTTATCACATATTTTCAAAGTAAAAAACAAGTATTAACCCACAGGGCTGAAACTAAAGCTAACACTTACGTTTTAAAAGCCTGCAGTTCCTCCAGCCTCCACTAGAGTCTGTCTCCTGCAGTGAGTCAGTCCCCATAGAGCCCCATGTTAAAATGTCCAACTTTACAGCTGCAGTTCCTCCTGTGTCCACTAGAGTCTGTCTCCTGCAGTGAGTCAGTCCCCATAGAGCCCCATGTTAAAATGTCCAACTTTACAGCTGCAGTTCCTCAAGTGTCCACTAGAGTTTGTCTCCTGCAGTGAGTCTGTCATCATAGAGCCCCATGTTAAATACATGTCCATTAGTCACACCTTTTTAAAGACTAAAGACGTAGATTAAACGTCCATGATATTTTCATGGACTGTGTACGTTTTGTTTTGTTTCACAAAGTGTGAGGGACGCGTGGATTTTTGTGTATTGATGATTTTTATTCAGCAAGTTTTTCATAAAACGTTTAAAGTCAGCCAATACTGTAACTTCATGAAGAGGTGTCTGATTGACTTTATTTAACTGTTGTACCACATTAATTATTTTCTTTGTTCCATCAGAGGCTCTCAGTCCAGAGTGTAGATGTTCTCCTGGACTGGCCGTCTCATCCGGATCTCATAGATGATGTGAGGCGGCTCTTCAGACGAGAAACTGAAAAGGATAGTTCACACAAAGTTCCACAATGCATCCTGCAGCCAAACCATCAGCCACTTCAAATTCAATATGGAGGTAATGAATGAAAGGACTTAAAGGAGCTCACCAGTCGGCCTTCAGGGCTCTGTTGTAGATTCCACCTGCAGAAAAACACAAGGGCTACATCAGAAAGTCACTCAAATAAGACCATTTTAGTGGAATACTGCTGCCTGGAGGATGAGGAGAGAGCTCTCTCCTCATCCTCCAGGCAGCATGTCCTCTATGAAGAAGATATAAAGCAGAGTATTTGTCAAAGAGAGACAGATAGAGAGAGAGCGATAATGTACGTTTGAAGGCCAGAAAGAGGAAAACTCCGGCCACGATGGACATCACAGTGAGGGAGAGAGAGAGGACGGGAACATTGATCTGAAGAGAGAGAGAGGGCAGAGAGTCCTCCCCCTGAGAGAGAGAGAGAGAGGTTAGACTTCTTTAATATCAAACCAATGCTTCACATGGAGGTGATCAGAGAGAGAGACGTCTGCTGTAAGTCTCACAGCTCTGGTTGGCGGTAACTCACGGTGATGGTGTCGGGGCGCAGCAGGGTGGAGTTCTTCCTCAGCAGGTCGAGCTGAGACGACAGCAGGGATCTCCAGTTTACTACAACCGTACAAACGACCCAGATATTAAAGTCTGAAGCAGTCCTTCAGGATCACCTGTGCACCGGTCAACATGCCGGTAGATTCCTGGTGGTCTCACCTGTGGAGGACGACGGCTCTGTTACTTGATTCGTTGTTGGTGTCGTGGTAGTCGTTGGAGGAGAACTTGTGACCAGAGCTGTGCAGGAACACAACAGACGAAAGTTAGTCACAGGATCAGAGATGTTTGGTCCATAGGTGATACACAGGTAAACAAATCCAGTAAAAAGAGGAGAAAGACCAGGTTAGACAAACTGCTGATAATCGACACAGGGGGCAAAGAGTGGCTCACCTTTCACCACTCGCAGGTTCATGATGGACTTCTTGTCGTTGAAGATCCCGTCGATGTCCACCCTGCAGCAGTACGGCCCGCTGTCCGTCCGCCTCACGTTCACGATGTCAAGATCCATCTGTCCGTCAAGGACGTCCCCGGTCAGCCTGTACCGGTCCTCCACCTGTAGCAGGGAGGTGTCAGAGCCTTTGAGTTTGATCTCTCTTTCAATCAAATCTAAACCATCCGACAGTTTATGGGAAACGGATCAGGATTCTCCAGGACTTATCCACATCAATTTAAGTTTGATCTAATCTCTATTTACAAATGATGAATATTAATCTGAATCTGTAAGCGATCTGATTTTGGTATCGTAAATGTTCTGATCTGTGTTTAAATCAAACCTCAAACTACGTTTAAAAGACCGAACTAGCAGTGTGAGAATAAAGAGGATTGTTTGATCTTGATATAGTTGAGCCCATCGACTGTAAATATTAATGAAGCCTGAGTGACGCCACCCATCTGTTCCTGCAGGGGGCGCTGGAGTCCCATCAATGGCGGTCTCCATCCATCCATCCATTTTCTTCCGCTTATCCGAGGTCTGGTCGCGGTGGTAGCAGGCACAGTAAGTCAACCCAGACTTCCCTCTCCACAGCCACGTTTTCCAACTCTTCCTGGGGGATTCTGAGGCCTTCCCAGGTTAGACGGGATATATAATCCCTCCAGCGCATTCTGGGTCTGCCCTGAGGTCTCCTCCCAGTTGGTCGTGCCAGGAAAACCTCTAAAGGGAGGCGTCCAGGAGGCATCCTTAACAGATGCCCAAACCACCTCAACTGGCTCCTTTCGATGCGGAGAGCAGCAGCTCTACTCCGAGCTCCCCTGACTGTCTGAGCTCCTCACCCTATCTCTAAGGCTGAGCCCAGCCACCCTCCAGAGGAAGCTCATTTTGGCCGCTTGTATCCGCGATCTCATTCTTTCGGTCACTACCCATAGCTCATGACCATAGGTGAGTGTTGGAACATAGATCGACCGGTAAATTGAGAGCTTTGCCTTCAGGCTCAGCTCCCTCTTCGCCACAACGGTCCGGCACAATGCCTGCATTACTGCTGATGCCGAGCCAATCCGTCTGTCAATCTTACGTTCCATCCTACCCTCACTCGTGAACAAGACCCCAAGATACTTGAACTCCTCCACTTGGGGCAAGGAGTCACTCCCCACCCGGAGAGAGCAATCCACCTTTTTACGGCAGAGAACCATGGCCTCGGACTTGGAGGTGCTAACCCTCATCCCTTCACACTCGGTTGCAAACCACCCCAATGCCTGCTGGAGGTCCCAGCTTGAGGAAGCCAACAAAACCACGTCATCTGCAAAAAGCAGAGACAAGATTTTGAGATCCCCAAACTGGAAATCCTCCTCCCCCTGGCTGCTCCTTGAGATCCTGTCCATAAAGATCACAAACAGGACCGGTGACAAGGGGCAACACTGGAAATGTGTCTGACTTTGTGCCGTGGATGCGGACACAGCTCCCACTTTAGTCATACAAGGACCGGATGGCTCGTACCAATGGCCCTGGGGCCCCATATTCCGCAGTACCGCCCACATGGTCCCCCGAGGGACACAGTCAAAGGCCTTCGCCAAAACCACAAAACACATGACTGGATGAGCAAATTCCCATGCTCCCCCTATAAGCCCTGCAAGGGTTAAGAGCTGGTCCACTGTCCCACGGCTGGGACGGAATCCACATTGTCCCTCCTGTATCTGAGGTTTGACAATCGGCCAAAGCCTCCTTTCCAGCACCCTAGAGTAAGCTTTCCCCGGAAGGCTGAGAAGTGTGATACCCCGATAATTGGAGCACACCCTCCGGTCCCCCTTTTTGAAAATGGGAACCACCACACCAGCCTGCCACTCCACAGGCACTGTCCCAGATTTCCACACGACATTGAAAAGGCATGTCAGCCAAGACAGCCCAACTATGTACAGAGCCTTAGCATCTTAGGGCAAATCTCATCCACACCTGGTGCCTTGCCACTGAGGAGCTTTCTAACTGCCTCAGTGACCTCTGCCAAGGCTAGTGGTAAGGCTTCCCCTGGATCTTCAGACTCTGCCTCCTCTTCAAAGGATGTTTTGTCTGGGTTCAGGAGTTCCTCAAAGTATTCCTTCCACCGCCCAACAATGTCCCCAGTTCGGGTCAGCAGTTCTTCACCCCTGCTGATAACAGCCTGGGGCAAACCCTGCTTTCCCTTCCTGAGCCGTCGGACGGTTTGCCAGAACCTCCTTGAGACCAACCGAAAGTCCTTCTCCAAAGCCTCCCCAAACTCCTCCCACACCCAGGTCTTTGCTTCTGCAACCACTGAAGCCACAGCCCTCCGAGCCACCTGATACCTGTCAGCTGCTTCCAGAGACCCCTGGGGTAACCAACCAAGCCCGAAAGGCCTCCTTCTTCCGCCTGACGGCTTACTTCACCACTGGTGTCCACCAGCGGGTTCTAAGGTTGCCGCCACGACAGGCACCGATGGTCTTCTGGCCGCAACTCCTAGCCGCAGCTTCTACAATGGTGGTCTCCATGCTGGAAATGCTGTCTCAGCCCAAGACCTGGAGCCTAGGCTGGTTTTAAACCTCCTGATAAACCGTTACACCGCGCCCGCCTGTCACTCAGGTCAGCTACACGCCTTATTGTGAATAACTCTTATCCTTCATCAAATCAAAACGGATGAGTCATCAAAACATTCAACCCCCTGTACAGTGTGTGTTGATCGAGACATGAGCTAATCAGACCTATTAGTTTTTTTGAACCAGGCTGTAAACATGTTAATCTCTGCTGTAAAAACAGGCTTTTTAGAATGGGTGTGTACGTGACTTCCTGTGCTTCTGCAGCCAGCCGTCTGTCTGGTGCGTCTGGTGGACACTCGAGGAACTGCAGGATTTTACACTTCAGCATCAGTGTCATTTTTCAACACCAACGCCGCTTTGTTTCTTCTCCCTCTTTTTCTGTATTTAATTGTCTTATCCTGACCTTGGAGATGACGCCGTTCTCGTCCGTCTGCACCAGGATGTTGCTGCACCAGAAGGTCCCGCAACCTCGACCCCAACACACCCGACTCAGACCGAAACGCTTCACGGAGTACTGACAGGACAGAGAAGCCACGCCCCCCTCCGTCACTTTAAAAGAGGAAACTGAGGACACGTGAAGACCTGCAGCACGGACAAACACACACAAACCAAACACTCAGGTTATTAATGAAGACAACGATCAGAATCCAGAGTTTAAAGGTAAATAAAGAGGGGGACAGGAAACATAATGCAGCAGGTTTATTAGAGCACTTATATCGCAGAGGTGGCGTGCAGACAGTCTATGGTCGTGCAGCGATCACAGGGAATAAAAGTCACCACCCCCTCCCACTCGCTCCAGGTGGATTCTCCTGATTATATCCTGCTGCGTTCTCACATCAGCTCACTCTGACTTTCTGCAGAATAAATACGAGGAGGCTGGAGGAAAAACTCTGTGTGAAGAGAGAAACATTCAGCTGTTTGTGTTCAAACATGACGCTCAGCCTGAACACTTCAGGAAGTTTTCTGCAGGTGTGACTATTACCCCCAATTCACACATACTCCGTGCGCGCCGCGGTCTGTCTGCGTCACGCACTACATTGTACTTAGCTGCCACTCTAGTCAATCATTGTGCTCACACAGGGCGCGCTGCGGTCTGTCTCCGGCGCGTGCCACCAACGGCACTACGTTCTGCTCCGTTTCAAGTCTATATTTAGCGAGTCTATTTTCGCTGGACAGAATATCACAGCCCGGACAGGAAGTCAGACCAGGAAACGCACAGAGCATCCGGTCAATTTCAAATTAAAACACAATATACGGACTCGTGATCGGATTTTTCATCACTTTATCAACATTACGTCAATACAGGCACCGAATTAACAACAATGCATCCTCAGAAAGACAAAACAACATGTCGTTTGCATGTTTTTCTCTTTATTCCCGCGGGATCTTGTAGTTCTCCTGTGATGTGTCATTGGTGCGCTCCGCTGCGCTGATGTCCCAGAAACGTATGAATGGGTGCGAGCCGTCCGACGGAGCAAAACCGTGGCGCTGACGGACCGCAGCGCGCACGAGTATGCGTGAATTGGGGGTTAGTGTGGGCTGAGGAGAGACATTATGATTTAACAATTTCTGAATCAAATAATCAACAAATTAATTTATACATAAAATGTCACAGCATGAAATGTGGAGACAAACAAACGTCTGACCTGCACTCGTCCATGTTGGTATAAATATCCTAAATCAGTGGTTCTCAAACTATGGTACGCATACCACCGGTGGTACGCAAAGAAATCTCCACAATATATATTTTTTAAAAACCTGTTCAGCATAAAATTACATTTTTTATTTTTGTCATACTCTTATCTTATCTGTCTTGTATCTTTGGGTTATATTTATATCAAATGTGTTTTCCCCTCTAAATTAATCTAGTTTTTGCAACAAACAACTTTAATCTGCTCAATTTTTGCTCGTGCGCATGCACAGACATAAACAACAACAGGAGTACGCCTCGCGTTTTGAAAAGTTCCACTCGATATTCCGTTATAGTTCAGCACTGAAACACCAGCAAGCAGCTGAATATTCTGTTATTTATTGGAGTTCAGCACACAATCGGCAGCAAGCAGCTGTACATTTTTAAAACGGAGCCAGGAGGAGCTTCAGTTGTGATGCATGTACGGACAGTCGCTCACCCTCTCTATCTCTCTCTCTTACTCTGAAGCTGATGTGATTCTGCTCTCTTTTGTTGTCTTAACACTCCGTAGGAGTAGAGAAGGATTTTTTTTTTAAAAAGGCAGTTTTGCTATGTTGAACGCAGAGACTTAAAATAAAGCGGCTCTGGTTGCACGGTGCCTGCACTCTCACGCGCTCCCTCTCGCTCTCTCAGGCACGCAGCAATTTTGTGAATAAATGAAAAATTTAATGAGAACAGGTCGGAAATATACTTGGGCCCAGGTATCGTCTTTGTGTGGGAAACACTGGAGACTAAATATTCTCAAACAGGTTGTTGGTATAAAGTTGTCATTTTTATTGTGCTCTACTTTTTTTTGATTTGGGCAAATGTCAGAGTTGTGTTAGTTTAAGTGCCAGTTCTAACGCTAGCCCTTAGTAGTCCTATAGTGTGGCTGCCAACAGTCAATAATAAATAGCCTCCTGCGTAAAATGTGTGTAGAAATAGGCCTACAGTGTATTTTAACATCTACCATAATGGTGGTACTTGGAGAGCCAAATATTTTCGGAGGTGGTAAAAAAAAAGTTTGAGAACCACTGTCCTAAATGCATCTTTAGACGCCACCTGTAACGTTCTCATCACAGCTTGACTGTGATTTCACCACGAGTGATCAGTTTAAACAGCAGAGTACAGTCAGCTCTGTTTTAACATCGGGTCTGTGCATCACTCAGGTCACTCCTGATAAAACATCCCAGATATCTGACTTTGCCCCCCCCCCGCTGAGTGCTCGATCAGAGATGAGGAAAGAAGGAAAATGTTGCTTTTCATTGTCTTTGCCTTTTACCATCATGACGACACTCTTTTTACTGTTAAACTTAAGGTCACACTGCACGCCTTAACTCGAGCACATTCTTAGAAGTTGTAGTCCAGCACGGTAATAATGGACAGGATTCTGTTGATGTGATTCTAGTAAAAATAAAACAAAACTTGTTTGATACCACGGCATCAAAAACAGACGTCTCAGTAATTTTTGATACAATTACTCAAATAAAAGCTTGAACAGTAAATCATGCTGAATGCCCGAGTCCTAATAATGCAATGATAAGACACATAAAGAACATTTTTCTACTTCAGTATTTTTTACAGTGTACGATTGGAGCTTTAACTGTAAAAAACAATCCGAGCACTTCCCGTGTTGTTGTGATGTCATCAGTCTGATTCTCACCTGACAGGACAAGGATGATGAAGGTCTGAAGCGTGCGACAGCAGTGAGGCGAGACCACGTCCATCCTGTGAGTGCATGTGTGCGTGTGTGTTTATTGTCCCATTTGAGACGATGACACAGTGTGACTCTGCAGGGGGAGGGGCTACACACTCACACACAGTGAGTTTGTGTGTCTGTACAATGAAGACTTCATTGATTCTCATGTTGTGAACGTCGGCAGTCTTCATGAAACATTCATCGGGTAAAAAGTGAGAAAATCTTCAGATTCTGACTGTTGAAGGAATTTATTCACAAGCAGTGAATTCATTATTTACGATCTAATCTCCTGTTGTGTGTGTGTGTGTGTGTGTGTGTGTGTGGGGGGGGGGGGGGTAATGAAGATAAATGTTCTCCAAATATAGTTTATTAAAAACTTGGTTCAGAAACATAAACCACGCCTCAAACACAACCCATCTGTTTCATACTTATTTCAGCACGCCTTACTCGCTCCTATTCCTCTGACACTAGTTTTTAGATTCTGGTCCTGGATTTGTTTGGACCAGAGAAGGTAGACGGTTTTAAGGCACCCCCACAAGGCCGTTTTGGACGCCCCTCGGTTTGCCAGATATGAGATCAGTTATCAGGTCAAACCAACAGGTGTTGCAGCGATGGAAGCGAACAAGAGAACTGGTTCAGATAGAAGTGATTGTACCCGACCTAAAAAGCCTCTGAATGTTTCTAATAAGCTCCACGAGCAGAAACGTTCTCAAACTAGGATCAATATTGGAGATGCTTTTGAAAAATGGAGAGAGGTTAGAACACAGAAAGGTTTACAGACTGATGCAGAGCTGGATAAACACTGAAGCTTCAGTGTCCACAACATGGCAACCTGCATGAGCATCAACTCGAGAGAGGAGAGGGCGGGGGGAGACAGCTCTCTACAATGATTAGAATTTAGACTGCAGTACCCATTTTAAACACCAGGTGTTGTGCTGGAAATTTCTGTTAACAATGCAAAAGAAAGGATCATGATACAATCAATATCTTTGTTTAGTTTAATTCTTCTTGCAAGTAGAAGGAACAAAGCTTCAGAGTGTCAATACAGTCTGAAGGAAAGCTTGAAGTAATCACATTGGCCCTCACTTATCAATCTGGTGTAGAAACCAGCGCAGATTTGGGTGTAGAAATCATTGTATGACAGGGTCCACGTGGGACCTATGAAACGTGCGTATCTGGCTGATCACAGCGTACGCAAGACCGGGTGTTGCGGCTGGAAAAGATCGTCATTTAAATACCACGTCCGTATTTATTCACGGCTCAGCTGTCCTCTCCCCCAAAGTTTACGGCATGGAGATACTTAATACGGAAAAGAAGAGAAACGAGATATGACCTGAGTGACACCATAACAGAGAAAAGTAAAGAGGAATAACATTGTGTTGTCTGGCAGCCTGAAATGTAGGATTAAAGCGCTTCAGAAGAAATGTGCCTGCATGGAAATCTCAATAGCATTGGTGTGGATATCCGAACTCTAGCAGCGTTTTTAATAATTAATTAAACATCCGTGTAACGTACATAATCTAGGCTATAATATAATCACAATTTTTTACTTTTAGTTTTTTTTAAAACTGGTCAGATTGTACGATCGCTACAATATAGGCTAGTTTTGCGGGTCTTAAAAGAAGCACCAGGACCGGAGGACACCAGCTGGACCCCACCTGAAATTATCCCAGATCGAGGAGCGAGAGGCTTCTTTCATCGGTTCAGCCTCAATATCACGCACAAGTGGTACAGGCGAGCCTGCATCTGTGTCGGATAACTTCGGCTGCACTATCGGGCTCCGTGCTTGCCATTAATGAGACTTTTAAAGAGATGAATGAAAACCTGAAATGTCCTGCAACAAATTAATAAAGTGTTTGATCAAACGCTGTGCAATGTGCACTTCTCACATTAGCCTACTTTCCAAACATAAGAATTTAAAGGTCCCATATTATGCTTTTTCTGGTTTTATATGCCCTTTAGTATGTTTTCCAAGTGTCCTGTGCATGTTTAGGCACAGCCATGTGCAAAAATTCAAAGTCTGTGGAAACGCAGCTTCTCCTACGTCCTCCTGTTAGCTGTAGCATTAGCTGCATGTAACACTCGGTTCTAGCCCCCCTCGATAAAAATGTGTCAGTCCGACGTCATTGTCAGTGTGAGATCACTGATCTAAGCCCATTGGCTTGTTGTGGCAAGCCCTGCAGCTCATGTTGTATGCCCGTTAACTTCTGTAGCACGCCCACGATATGCCGTAGGCTGCGGTAGCACAGTAGTGCTAAGGTGCTAATGTTTATGCTCCCCTCGGACGAAGCCAGTGGCTGCATTCCCAATATGGTAAAAGAGACCAATAACGACAGAGCGGATCGGCAGACCAATCAGAGCAGACTTGGCCCACGTGGCGTAGTCCCAACAGTGTGGGCTCAACAGAGAGTAGCTGATGGACTCAGAGCGTAGAGGGAGCCAGGAGGAGCAGTACATGAAAACAGACAGGCTTAGCTATTGTGAACGTACAAAAGTAGGTACATAGATTAAATATACGAATCCCAAAAAGGGCATAATATGGGCTCTTTAACACTTACATACAAGAAGGTCCTGACTCCGTCTTACAGCCTCCAGATTTATTTTTTCGTTATTATGTCACATGTAGTCTCTGTGCGTCTGCTGCCCAATTACGCATGTGGCACATCAGCGTAATTATTATTTTAATCTCCGAACATACCGATTAGTTATGATCTAATGTTAATGTTCTGAATTCTTAAATATTTCATATTTCAGAGGCTAAAAGTTGTATTTAGTATCTCTGGAAGTTTTTTTCTGTTTTAATTTGTCTCAGTATTTTCTGCAGCGATATTCCTGTGCGCTGAACGTTTAACATGTATTTACTGAAAGCAGTCTCTCTAATCTTTAATCTTTAAAGTAAATCGATTAACAAACATTCATTCATCAAATAAAATACACAATTAAAGAAATCACCTGACAGCTCGCGATGCTCAACATTATTTAAAAAGCAATGTAGCCTACAGAGATCGTTAGAGGTGGAGCGTAATATAAAATACATTTTAGATGCCATATCTTATCTAACAATAAATCTGTGAACCTCTATCTATCCGTCTTAACAAGCACTGTTATAGTATGATATGATTCTCAGACACAGACAGATTCGCTGCACGTGCGTACACGAACTGAGACCTGGCGTGGGATTTGAGCGTACCCTCCGCTCACGTCCAAATTGATAAGTGTCGAACTTTGTGTGGAAATGACCGTACACCCATTTTTTTGCCGTACATACGTTTGATAAGTGAGGGCCAATATGCTTGGGTTTATATACACATGCTTTACAGAAAAACCTTCATGCCTATAAAAGGATTGCAGATACAGGCGCAGTCAAATATCAAATACTTTTGTCACTTCAACTCGTCGCACAACAGTAATGTCAAGGAAACTTCCAAGTCTAGCTATTTGTGAGAAACCTTCATCCTTGGGTAAAGACAAAACAAGAATATTACGTATTAACTTATTGTAGCATTTGTCAAGCGAGCTGTAAGTCAAATGTGTCCTCGACAGTAAACAGAATTTTTCCATTACTACATATAGCTACATATTCCTCCTTTAAGTCCTTAAATAAATTCCTTAAACCTCAAACATGAGAGCAGACTGAAGAACCTTTGGAGCTTCACATCACTCTGTGATCACGACAGTACATCTGAAGATAAGAAACATTTGAAAGAAATTAAAAATGTCTAAAAAATCACTTTAGTGGAAGGAACAGACAAGGATAAACACTGTGATGGAAGGAAATACTGAAGACAAGAGGACTTTGTCTGTGACACACACACACTGACCCTGGCTGTGTGGAGACGTCACAGATGCACAAAGGACCCGTTATTCACAGCAGATTTTGTTTCTGCTTTTACCCCAAAATGAGACAATTTGAGCATTTTTTAATTTCTGTCTGTGTGATGATAAAATAAACGTTTTGAAGAAACATCTGGAATCTTCTTCACTCCTTCAAACTACGGGAGTCACGATACCAGATTATAAAACTTAAAACTACCACTGCAACAAAAAATATCTCCCAGAGGCCAATATCAGATCATTTCTTGTTTTTTAACTGCAGTAATATTTACAGTCTATGCTGCAGAGAAACTTGTGAACACTGTCTGAAGTGCACAAATTTGTTGGTAATGTTTTGACAAGAGGGTGGAGCTGGCAAAACAACAAAAAGCTCCATATTTAGTTCAGGTCCATTAAAGGCCCCTTCCTCCAAGGGGTCTAAGGTGTCTGTCCCACTTTTCCAACACTATTCGGCCCATTCACACCGTGCTCGACCATGACTCGACCACCAGCCTCTGTGTGTGTGTGACACACTGCAGGCAAGGAGGAACAGGGCTATAAAATCCCACCTTCAAATTGAGCTCGCCACCGACTCAAATCGGTCAGAAAGCCCCTAGTTTTTCTTTTTCATCAGGTGAGAGGAAGGACGCCATCAAACACTGAAGCAAACTCCTGTACACGGTCTAAACTGCACAGAAACAGTTTGTTTGTATAATTTAGAACATGTGCCACAGTTTTCCTGCAATCTGATAAACAAAAATAAATATTTATGCAGGCCATCCAGGAATCTATTTTTGTTGTGGTAGCTTGAAACAGATTTTTAATAGAATCATATCAAAGTTTAAAGGTTCGTTCCATTTAGGATTTAGGGTGGTTTCACATCAGGGACCCGAATTCGCTTGACCCTTAAGTCCAGTTCAGTGTGAACACAGACGTACTGTAACGACGAGCAACAAAGAAACAGTGTTCAAAGGAAACAGTCTGATAACTCTGATGAACTCCCTCAACGACACAGGGCAGCTCATGCAATGTAAGTGAAGCTGGAGCGCCATCTGGTGGACAAATTAAACACTACACCACATGATACATCCTCACGTCTTCATAATTTAAACACTGTTTTCTTTGTTTATGCTAATAATACCCTATGAGTTTACTACCTGTCGCTGATCAGTGTCACCTACACCTTCTGCCATAAGGATTACAGTGAAACTATTAAATGTAGTGTTAAA